TTCATTTTCCATCCATAATGAGGCAGTTTCAACATTAGTAAAAGGCACCACAATTTATGTTGGGTCTATTCCTGATAATTGACAAAGTCCTTTCTCAATCAATTCAGAAACCTTTCTACATATGCCCTTAATTTTTTAATGGATATTTCTAAAATATCTATTCTAAGATATTATCTTCTCCCTGCACAAGAATTTCTATAGAGAATGTGTAGAAGGCAGCCTCAGCAGGATACAATCAAGTGCTGGATCCAAGCAACCCACATGTGCGCCTGTGATTTCTCTTCTACCAAAGCCAATTCTCTCTCAGCCTCAGCTGATAATTTCCTTGAGCTATTTTAAGGCCTTATCACCTTGTAAGGTTTGAAATAAATTAATTTGTTCTTGAGTTGTCAATCCAATTGTGATCTATAGCCAGCTAATATCTCCTAACAATTGTTGAAAATCACTAAGAGTTTACAATTGATGTCTCCTGATTTGTACTTTCTGTGGTTGAATTTTCTGTAAATCTATCTTACATCCTAGGTAATTAATAGAATCTCCTCTTTGTATTTTTTCAGGAGCAATTTGTAATCCCCAACAAGGCAAAATTTTCTTTACCTCTTCAAACAGATTTCCCCCCCCCACAAGGTATCTAGTCTAAATCATCCATATAGTGGTAAATTTTGGATTGAGGAAACTGCTTACAAATTATTTCCAGTGATTGCTGTACAAAATATTAAAACAAGGTAGAGCTATTAATATCCCTTATGGAAGAATTTTATACTGATATCTTTTAACAGGCTGGGAATTATAAAAGTAGGCACTGAGAAGGCACATTTTTCTGTCATGTTCTTGTAAAGGTATAGTAAAAAAGCAGTCTTTTAAATCAATCACTGTAATAGACCATCTTTTAGGCAACAGAAGGCAAGAGAATACTAGGCTGTAAGGAGTCCATAGCCTGGATCACCTTATTTATGGCTCTTAAATTTGTTAACCTTCTCTATTTTCCAGATTTCTTTTTAATGACAAATTAGGGGAATTCCAAGGACTGGTCGATTCTTCAATATGTTGAGCACTTAGCTGCTTCTGTAGCAGCTGTCTTAGTGCCTGTAATTTTTCTGATGTCAAAGGCCATTTCTCCACCCAGACAGGTTTGTCAGTTAGCTGTTATAAACGAAGGGCTGTTAGTGCCTTTGAAAGATCAGCAGCTGTTGTTCTCTGCTTATGTATAACCAGAACCGTCGGTGACTGTTCTTGATAATATATTTTAGTATTTTTCTCAGAAGCATATGTTAGTTTCTGGTTTGTTTCTGAGATTGGAGGAATGTTAATCTGTGTTTTCCATTGCTGTAACAAATTTCACCCCCATAAATTCATGGCTATGTTAGCCACATATGGTTTTAATTCTCCTATCTGTCCTTCTGGTCCTATACACTCAACCTATCTTGCACTTCGTTTTACCTGAGATAAATAAAGTATCATTCCCTAGAAACTGAACATATACCTCCTCAAGTGGCCAATCTGGATGCCAAGGTTTTGGTGAAATTATTGTTACATCCATGCCTGTATTTAGTAAACCTTCTGTCACAATGCCATTTATTTGTATTGTTAGCTTTCGTTTTTTATCATTTATAGAAGCTTTCCAAAATACTTGTTTTATGGTCTCTTCTGAAAAAATTTTTATAATCTTCTGAAGCTGTTCTGTCATCTAGAACAGTATGATTTTTCACAACAGGCATTAAGTCTTTTAATTGCTCTGTGGAGGCATTTCTCTGACACTGACAGGAAATGATTAAATCAAATTTCACATTGGGGCCTCCCTAAGGTGTTTTGTGATGCCACAGGGTTACCTTGCCCATCCCATCTGCATTCATTAATCCAGTGTCTGCCTTTGCCATACCTTCTGCATACACCAGAAGGCTGGGGGCCTTCTGTTTGGATTATCTCTAGGAAAAACATTGTTCTTAGGGAATGCCTTGCCTATCATCCCTTTTCAGATGACCTGGTTTACCACAATTAAAACATCTAGCCCTTTGATTTTTATTAATAATTTTTAGAAATCACTTCTCCTATCCAAATATTACCATAAATGTGAGATCCATCATTGGCTGCATTTTGGATCCATTCTTCTGTTGGTGCTGATCTTGCCTTTAAAGCCCTAATCCCCCCTCTGCATTCTGAATTAGCATGTTTGAAAGCCACGGATTCAATTAGTGTTTGTCTAACTTCTGGATCTGATATCATTTTAATTAAAGATGAAGTTAAACTTTGTAAAAAATCAGTGAAGTCTTCTTTTGGACCTTATATAATTTTAGTAAATGACTGAGTCCTCTTTCTTGATTCTTCATCCTATTCCCAAGTATTCAAAGCTGCTATATGGCAAAGAACCAAGATGTGATCATCAAATCTAGACTGTTTTTGCAAATCAGCATACTGACCTTCACCAAGAAGCTATTCTTGGGAAATTTCAATACCTCTAGCCTTACTTAGTTGTTCTGTGACCCTAGATTGCCCTCTTCATCATGTTTTTTCATTATAATTAAGGGCCAGCATCCAATATTGCTGTAGCTAAGCATTTCCAGTCTTGTGAAATAATTCTGTTTCAAGTGGCCCATGAATTTTTAACATCTGCTTTACAAAAGGTGAATGCATACCATATGAAATTACTCCTTCCTTAAATCTCTTCACATCTAACATTTCTACAGAATCCCAGTTAACTTCTGAATAGCTTTGGGGTACCTATCATCTGGTGGTCATTCTTGAATGGTAACTGGATAAATTAAGGTTGGTTTTCTAATAACCTTGTGCTCCTCTTAAGTTTCATAATGCAGAGTACCTATCTCTGCCCCAGAGTCCTGCCTTTTCTCTCTTGCTTAGCTATTGGCTGTTCAGCTCTTTATTAAACCAATCAGAAGCTGCCTTAGGCAGGTAAGGGAAGACAGTAACTCATCTTCATACAGTTGATCAAATATCTCCAAAACGAGATAATTCACACAATTTTTTTTTTACCTAGAGATAGGAATGTACAAAGATTTACAAAATGTAAAATCATTGTGTTGACCCTATGCCCCATTGCAATCTAGTGGCCATCTGTACTCCCTGATTTCCCAGTGACCACAAGTCAGACCCATCCCAAGCTGCCAGTCCTTGTGTTTCAGATATTCTAAAGGATTCTAAAGGATATCAAAGTCACATGCTGTTTTTCGCAGCAGACATGTTCTCAGGGGATTCTAAATGAACTAAGTCCTCTAGAAATCAGTTCCCTGTATGGTACAGATGGGGTTCAGGAAATAAAGTTTTCCTTCCAGCCCCATTCCCCGATACTCACATCATGGTCATTGCAGGTGTGTGTAAGTGTGGGCTGTTATTTTTTTCCCCCGCTTCTAATTGGTGTTTATAGATAAAGTCCAGAACATTCTGCTCACACTGCAGAAAGCTTAACTGTCTTCTTCCAGAAGGGTCTGTATTCATAGGAGCCTTCAGGAGCTGTTGGTGTTTAAGTGAGACAGCCAGAGTTGAATCATGTTCTTAAATATACACTACACACTGGATTTTGAAGAATGAAAATGAAAAAAAACAATAATAGAAAATATATATCTTTATAACAAATATGCCATTAAGATTAACTTTACCCATTTTTACTTTTTACATGTGTTTGTAAAAATTTCTAAATTGCCTGTGTGGCTCCTGTCATGGTTCTACTGGACAGTGCTGCCCTCAGATGACAGAAAAATTAATCTTTTGTCCCAGCCTTCATCCCTCCAATAGTCTTCAACCAAAACTACACAGGGTTGCTGTTACTACTTGCCTATATGGGACTTGGGGACTGGCCTCCAAAACTAGCCTCTGGACCATCTTCTAAGAACACCATGAATGTCACAGCAATGTCCTACCTGATACCACTCAGAAAAAGATTGAGATTTCCAACAGGAATGAGACCCTTGCCCTTGTGGTAGATTGTTCTATTCAGCATCGAAGGAATAACTTGAGCATTGGGAAGTCTATAAACCTCATGGATCTTGAGCTATGAGCATTACCAGCAAATGCCATGTATGAAATGAATGTTCATGCAGAAAACCTGTTGTTGTTTTATAAAAACTGTTACGTTTACTACTTTAACCAATAAGACTGTAATATGTGTGACTATTAGAATAAGAAAAAAGAGACTTGACTGATTCAATTTTATGACTGTTGAATATATAATTGATATATAATCCTCATTAATAAGGCCATGGCACACTGCCCCAATCTGTGGGGCCGTCAGTGAAGAACTGGGGAACACCTACAAGAAAATGGGGGACAAGGGATATAAAGAATGGACAGCAAGACAGTATTCTGATCAAGCTGACAAATTTTATTTTCTCAGGGGAGGCTTATATAAGACCGTGGGCAGGATGTGAGCAGGATTTGTATGTAACCAGGGCATGGGCACTGGCACGTAGGCAGAATGAGAAGGTCAGTAGAAGGAATACCCTAAGTTGTTTAGCTAACCTGTAATTGGCTGTAAATTGCAGCAGGAGAGATAGCCCTGAGCTATTCTTTAGCTGGCTGTGAAATCGCAAGCCTGTACCTTGGAATGTTCTGCTGAACATCCTGTTTATTTCTTAAGAGGCAGTAATTTTCTATCTCAGAGGCCTGAGGTTGTGAAGATGGTGATGGTCCCTAACAGCACACTGCATTTGCTTCCCAGTAATTTTGAGATGTATGTAAAAAGCAGGGGGCTGAAATCAGAATGAAAGATATCGTGTGTGTGTGTGTGTGTGTGTGTGTGTGTGTGTGTGTGTGTGTGTGTGTGTGTGTGCGTGTGTATACAACATACTCAGAACTCTTAATAAAAAAAAAATCTTGAATACATTCTAGATTTGAGTTTGAATACTGAAAATTCTTCAAATGACATATGTTAAATTTCAGACCAACAGCTATAATATACAATTTGCATAAATGTGGTAGCTAAGCAGTGAAATATTTGACCATTTCAGAACCATTCTTGGGTGAACGAACAACTTTATCTTGATTTTTAGGAAACCAGAATTCAGATCATGGAAAAGGATGCAAAGAAAATGCATCATTTCTCTGTGATTAACACTATTGCTGGGCGTGCGGTGCCTCACATCTTTGCAGCTGACAGCCTAGAAGACCTTCAGGAATGGATGGGCGCCTTCCGGCAGCATCTCTTTGATCTTAGTAAGTAGATATTTGTGTTTTCTTGTAGTGTACTCATGAGGCTTGGGAGACTGGACACATGTGGTCCAAATATTAGAATAAAGAATTTGCACCAGGTTGTTTTCCTCCTGAAACCTTGGTCATGAACCACAAACCTTTCCCAGGTGATGAGATCATAGTATTCAAGAGTCTCAGTTCTAGTCACCTTCTGCTAACTGCAAATCTGTCATGATAGCATCTTGTGCTTCATCCAGAGATGAGTTTTAGCCCCTGAATGCCCTTCCCCATCAAAGTAGCACACAGTCCAGCACTGTGTGTAAAATACGTCTCCATTCATGGGAGCCTTACTCACAGGAAGATTCTTGACCTTAGTGATAAACAAAGCAGCCTACATGTTATCTGTGATTTTGTTTTGAAAGTGGAGACTGTTGACTGTAGTTTGTTGTTGTTGTTTTTAACTCGTTTGGCTCTTTGCTTGCTTGCCACCCAGCTCCCAAATAAATCACACAGAGTCTTATGCTTTTGTATGAAGCCTGGCCTTAGCTTGGCTTGTTTCTAGCCAGCTTTCCTTAAATTATCCCTTCTACCTTTTGCTTTTGGGCTTTTATCTTTCTCTATTCTGTATACCTTTCTTCTTACTCTGTGGCTTGCTCTGTAGCTGGGTGGCTGGCCCTTGGTGTCCTCTCTGCTTCTCCTTTTCTTGCTTCTCGACCTTCTCTCCCCAGATTTCTCCTCCTATTTATTCTCTCTGCCTACCAGCCACCCAGCCTATCCCTCTCCTGTCTATCTATTGGCCATTCAGCTCTTTATTAGACCAATCAGGTATTTTAGACAAGTGAAGTAACATAGCTTCACAGAGTTAAACAAGTAGAACATAAAAGATTGTAAAACATATTTGCATCATTAAACAAAATGTTCCACCACATAACAAATGTAACACATCTTCAACTACTATTCATTCCACAACAGTTCTGATCCAGTTAAGCCCCCTGTTAGAGTCAGCCAGTATTTCATGTCTACAGAATGCTACAGATTTGTGCCATAGAGTTGTCTGCAGGCAATGGAGTGACTTCTGAACCACTGTAAGGAGGTAGCATCTGCTGTCATCTGGCACTTCCCAGGCCTGCTCTGTTGTAAAGTTCAGCAGGTGTTGGGGTAAAGGTTGGGAAGGAGATAAGAACAGACTGTGTGTGTGAATATAACTGGGTGCCCCCCCAGTTATGGCTTGTCGTGAGGCTCCCAAGAGGTAAGCTACTTGGCTCTACTCTTGAGATAATAAGAGTGAGAGCCAGAGAGGCCTGCCATAGAGGCATTGAACTAGGGGAGTCCTTTAAGGCATCTTTCTTAAGCATCATCCTGAGGCATGTGGTAAAGGCCTACGTTCTCCTCCAGGTTTGCAGCTGTCCTGAGTTTTGGGTTTCTTTTTTTGTTTTTTGTTTTTTGTTTTTTTTTTTTTTTTTTTTTTTTTTTTTTTTTTTTGGTTTTTTTTTTTTTGTTTGTTTGTTTTGTTTTGTTTTGTTTTAGCTTAAGTTACTGCAGACCGTGTGTGTAGGTGTGACTTCAATGACAGCTTTCATTCTGTTATGTTGGTTTTCTGGGACTGGATCTGATGGTGTGCTGGCTGGTCTCCAACTTGGAGTCCTGCCTCAGTTTCCTGAGTGCTGGCATGGCAAGCATGCAGGGAGAGTGGTTGGTGATGAGCACTTGTAGCCCAGGCTAGCCTTGCATTTATACAGCCTCTGGGATTGCAAACATGTCTGCTAGGCCTGGTCAACAGCCTCCTTTCTTTTGCTGGTTCCATTTTGACCACTTTCCTAGACTCTCTGACTTGGAGAGCCTGACTTACAAAAAAAGCAAAGATGTTACTTTAAGAGATGACTCCGGCGGTTCCACCGCATAATGATGGAGAAGGGGCATTTGAAGTGCTGGTCCAGAACACTCTAGTCTGGATGCCAGTGGGCTTAGTGGGAGGGTCCACTTCTAGGCAACTCTTCATGCTGTCCCTTTGACGCTGACTGACACATGTTTAATCAAGTTGTGCCAATCTGTCATTTTAAAGTGTAAAATGTCTTATATTTGTATGGCAACGAAGCAAAGATGGATGTGTTTATACTCCCCAAAATATTGAATTATAATGTAGTCCTCTAATTTCCTTAATTTTTTATGTCATTTTAAAATTCACATTAACCTGCTTGTGCCTCTGCATATGTCTGTTTGTGTCTCTCTATGTGTCTGTGTGTGTGTGTGTGTGTGTGTGTGTGTGTAGGTATGCGTCTGTGGCAGTACACGTACGCAGGCCAGAGAACAGTCCATGGGAGTTTGTTCTCTCCTTCCCTCGTGTGGGTTTCCCGAGACTGAGATTAGGTCTTCAGACTCGGTGTTGCACTCCTTTGCCTTCTAAGCCATCTTGCTGGCCTCGTTATTCTAATTTTCTTAGGTACAAGCACACCTTCATCATCTTAGTTGAAGTATGGTGTATAGAACAAAGAAGAAGATATCAAGAATGGAATAACATAGGAATAATTTAATACTTGAATCAAATTTCAGTTCTTTAGTCCAATTTAAGAGTGGAAGGCTAGGAGAGTGAGCTAGTCAGGATTCATGAAGACGCAATGATGGGTGTAGATGTGCCTAGCCAGACTGGCCATGGTTTGGAGACGAGGGGCAAAGGGACTACAAGTGCTGTTGTAGTATTTCAGAGTTTTTAGAAGAGACTTGACCCTGGTTCTACATAGTCAGTAGCTAGGAATGATGGACCAAAGAAGGAATGTTTAAACAGACAGGATTCTTTATTCAAGCATTTACTATGAATATCAAGTTACAGGAGCAGCTCAGCATAGTAGATCATTGTGATAGGGAACATGAACTGTAAGTAGTGTGATGGAAACAGCGAGATGGCCAGCACGTAGCCACAGTCGCCACCAAGTCTGTCAACCTCAGTTCCATTCTTAGTGTCCCTGTGGTAGAAGGAGAGGACCAACTCCTACAGTTTGTCCTTCTGACCCTCACGGGTGCCACAACATGCATGGGCTTACATACATGGGCATTCTTACATACATGCGTGTACATGCACATGTATATGTATGCATACACACACACACACACTGAATATATGTAACACCTTCTCTATAGAGCAGAGTATGTGAAAACAGTATACCCTATCTGATATTTACCTTGTGTTAGCATACCAGCTGCCATGTATTTCTGTGTGTATAGACTTAATCACGACAGAATGCTTCAGTTGTAAAGTCACCTCTGACATCAGAAGTTTGTGTGATGGTACGGGGTTATATTCCCATCCTCAGCATGGTTAGCATTCTGTTTCTGGGCATCTATGAACCTGTTCATCTCAAGATCCCTGTGCAGAAATCACCACTTCACTGTGTGGTACGTTTAAGAATGTGAAAGAGAAACGCTGGCCCATTTAAAAGGAGTCATGGCCAGGCATTAGTGGTTCACGCCTTTAATCCCAGCACTGGTGGGGAGGGGGAGTAGAAGCAGGCTGATCTTTGTGAGTTCGAGGCCAGCCTGGTCTACAGAGCTAGTTCCAGGACAGGTTCCAAAACAATACAGAGAAATCCTGTCTCAAAAAACCAAAAAGAAATGAGTCATTATTTTTCATTAAATATGATGTTTCCCCCCACCGCCAGAAATATGAAACAAGTTGGCCTTCACATATTTATTTAAAAAGGAAGAGGGTGTGTAAGAGGTCAGCACCGGCTTCTGAACTCACGCCCTGGGGAGGACCCTTTGCAGCTATGTCCTTGGGACTGTTTCCTTTTGGTTTGCTGTGTGCTAACCAGCATCATAATAAAACACCTTGAAAGGCTTTTGATGTGTCTTAACTAGTTATGGTAATGGATTAAAAGTGTAGGTGTTTAGGTGTTTATTGCCATATGCCATGACAACAAAATGAATATGTAATTATGTAAACATGAATTGTCTTTAAAGTTTTCAGCCATGGAAAACTACCATGTTGGATAAATTGAATATACACATTGAAACTACTCAAAAAAGGAAAAGAAATAAGTCAACCTTAGAAGGCATCGGGTGTGTCGTCCCTACTTTTCTAGTGATGTGACTTACAGGGCTATGGGCCTCATGACTTCTATGATGTCATTGGATAGTCACGTGGTGTGCAAGAATGCAAGTCAGCAAATATCAATCTTTTTTTTTTTCTTAATTTTAACCTATAGAGAAGTCTGAAAACCTCAAGGTTTAAATAGTGAAACAATGAAAATAAAAATTGATGATGTCCACACTCTGAAGTTTGAATTGAATAGTTGAGCTATTAAATAATTCTTATTTCTTAATGAAAAATCTCTTCTAGAAGATATAATATGAGGACGTGAATTCTGTATTTCTTCTTCTGTCTGACAACAGGATTTCAATGGGGTTTTGTCTTTCAAATGTCTTGAATACTGGATGATTTCATCTAAAAGGTAGAGCAGAAGCCGTGTACACTTCCACAGTGAATGTGAAGTTTAATATGATTGTTGAGGGTTTGTGTGGTAGTGTACTAGCTAATGGCCTGGGGAGCTTAGTGCCTGCCCAGAACTGTGGGGTTTTTTTGTTTTTGTTTTTTGTTTTTCCTTTTTTTAATGAATCACTTAAGAATAAGCTTTGTAAACTGTGGGTTTTTCCAGGTTTTTATGCAAGCTCCTTGAAAGCTAGGCTTTAACTGATACATTTTCAACACACACACACACACACACAGAGAGAGAGAGAGAGAGAGAGAGAGAGAGAGAGTGTACTGATATTGAGGGAAAATGAAATACATATCTTCACATTTATATTTCAAACTAGCTTGCTCGTTCTTTCTCTCCTAGGCCAATGGAAACATTGTTGTGAAGAACTTATGAAAATTGAGATTATGTCACCACGGAAACCACCTTTGTTCCTGACAAAGGAGGCGACCTCCGTGTACTACGATATGAGTAAGTGGGGCTTGCTTCTGAGCCACAGGGTGACAAAAACAGCATTGTCCACACCCCAGCCGCTTATTCTATTGACATTAAAATGCTAAAATTTTCAGGGCACAATCAAATTGAATAATAAAAAAAGACTATGATTATAGACCAAGGAACTCATGTTTAATAGATGAATTAATACAAAATTAATGAGTGCGTATTTTTCATAGTTGAGATGCTTACGATCAAGCAGAAAACTCCAGGCTTAAAAGAATAAAGAACATAGCACTTAGCGTGTGAGATTCAGAAAATGGAAAAGTACAGGCTCTAAGATATGATCATGTGCACTTGTTTTCAGGGTTTGTTTTGGGGCTTTTGCTTTTGTTTGTTTTTTGTGTTACTGATAGGGAAATATTAATAAATGGAAGTGTTCATCTCTGGTCAAAAATAACTAGTGAGGTCTATTACTTAAGAAAGTTGTCTTATAGTTTTCTAATTCCCTTTCCCACACTTTGAAGGGTGTTTAATCCTGTGGGGTGGACTCTGGAATGGTGGTTGCTAAGACTCTCATGTGAACAGTAGTGTTCATCTGTTCCACTGGTAATACACGTGTGTGTGTGCGCGCGTGCGTGCGTGCATGTGTGTGTGTGTGTGTGTGTGTGTGTTTACAGTCTTAGGTTCCAAATGGTGACTTTTAATATCACAAATCAGCACATTTTATCTCGGTTTCCTTATTTAACCCAAGGAAAATTTTACCCAGCATCCTTATCATCAAAATAGTGTGAAGGCTTCAGACTTCTGCCCTGGGCCTTTGGTTTTGATGGGTTTTGTCAGTTTTTGCTTTGTCTTTCGCCGTTAGCAGAGATGTCAGGGTCTATTGGAAAAACTGCTGACTCATCATTACCTCTATCCCTGTTTATATGGCAAACATCCTAGTGAGCAAAATAAGAGCTTATGCCTAAGAAAAGTTATCGAATAATAAACATTTAAGCTAAAGAGTTCAAGAAGTGTTCATATGTGTCCCTCTGTGCTCTGTATGTGTGAACTTATGTATTTTTCACGTCCTGTGTATGTTATATATATGATAGCTAATGTATATCTATAGTACAGTCCATGATAGCCTTGTTTTGGGGCCCTCTTGATAGAGTTATCTTTTACAAATAAATGTACTCCCAAGTTTTTTATGGTCATTGTAGGTAGCATATTGGTTTGGAAAATATTAACTTATTTGGGTAAAGTACATATTTTTTTTCCCATGAAGTTTCTTCTTAAAATTATTGCAGGCATCGATTCACCTGTGAAACTTGAAAGTTTAACTGACATAATACAAAAGAAAATTGAAGAGACTAATGGGCAGTTCCTCATTGGTCGGGATGAAGCATCCACACCACCCCCGTGGGCCGCAGTCTTTGATGGCAATCATGAAATGGTCATCCAGAAGAAAGTGGTATCCCCTTCAGACAAACCGGCCCCGGAAGGAAAAAGGAAAAAGAGGCGAGCGCCACTTCCGCCTACTGATCAGCCACCCTTCAGCGTGAAGACACAGGGTGGCACAGATCAATCCAAGGACAGTGGGGCCCAGGCCAATGTCTCCGAAGCCTCGCCTTCTGATCCCAGACTGTCAACACCCATGCATCACCTCCAGAAACCAGTGGCTGCCCCTCGCAAACTTCTCCCTGCCAGGAAAAACAGTTCAGCTGATGGTGAGCACACAGACACTAAAACCAGTTTTGAGGGCAAGCCAGTGCCGGCTCCAAGGCAGAAATCCATCAGGGACATTCTGGATCCTCGATCATGGCTGCAAGTACAAGTATAGGAAGCCTTTACTGCCTAAATCAAGCTGTAAAAGCTCGGGTTGGAGGCATTATACATGTAATGTTATATAATTGTATAGGTAAAGGCCATAGCAATTCCTATAAAGCCATTCATAAGCTATTAGATATAGAAAAGCACATTTTAATAGAGAATTGAATTTCTCTCTTACTTCTCATTTCCAACACCACACATACACACACACAGAGCAAGAGAGCAGTTTCTAGACAGTATCCTAATTGTTGGAAGGGTTAATTTATTCCTACGTTAGTAGCAGGCAGTGAATAATCGGTAGGCAGAAGAAAGCATTGATGTTTCCTTTGGAGAGAGATCATCTAGTAATGTAGAATGTGTTAAATACAAGCCATATTCTCATTGTGAGGGTTTTAATACTTAATGGAATGTTTCAAAGGTTTTATTCAAACCACAAATTACAGAATCCACCCAAGAAAATCTCCCCTTCAGCTTTCTGGAATTCTCATCTAACGGTTCGCTGGCTCCCCTCTATTGTTTAACATGACGGTTTATAGGCTTGACCTTTTAAATTCCTGGGATAAATTTTAGAATATTAAATTCTTTGTCTTTAACGGGAATTTGTAATCTGCTATTCAGAGTCATTTCCTTGATGAGCCCTGAAATCCTGTTGACTTTGCTGCTCATCAGTGAGGCGCACGCTTATTAGTGAGAAAAATGGATATGAACTGCCCCACATTGCTCGGCTTGCTGTATGATGTTAATCTCCATTGTGCCCTCTGGAGTTCGGGGAGGCAAGTAGCTGATTAATGTCTTGAAATTTATTTAATGCTTATTTTAAAAGCAGATGACAGATTCAAAAATTATCAGAAAAGTTGACTGTAGTAATTTTCAGGATTAATCCTTTTTCAAATTTTTAATTAGATTTCCCTTTTTTTGAGTAAGGGTTGATGTCTGTTATTGATATTATTCATTAAAAGTAATATCCAGTAATAACATTGGCATCATTTCCATAGGAGGTAATTTCCATAGCAACTAATCATAGTGACCTAAACAGGATTATGAATTGAATGGGGGATAAATAGCAAGAGGATGAATATCTTAAATGGACAAAAAGAAAAATCCACTTTTTATAATAACCCTCTTTGTAAACAAGAGCAGCAGAACGGTTTTAAAATGTCATCAGAATTTCCAAGCCAAATTTCCCAGAAGGTGTCAAACTCAGTCCTGAGAATCTAGGACAGCCCAGGCCCTAACTGCCACCATGCACCAGCAGGCTGTAGGAAGTAAACTACAGACAGAGCATGATCAGAACTCCATCAGTGTGCAATGAACGTTGGACCAACAAAAGACTAACAGAATCTTTTATCATTTTTACATAGCGGAGGGGGATATTTTTTGGTCTGTTTTGTCTTGTTTTTTATTTTTCATTTCTACACTGTGCTGTGATTGTCAGGTAATACATACACTGTTGCTTGCCTGGGGACTCCCAGTGGGACCCAGGAACAGTGACACATTAAGTCTCTGGTGACAGTGATGCCAGAGCAGACATAGCCCTTGGTAAAGGTAGAACTCTGGGTAGAGACTCCTACACCCATGGAAACATGAAGGGTAGATGGATGTGGGTTTTTTGTTTTGTATTGTTTTGTTTAACTGGAAGGTTCTCAAACATTTTGGTGGTGACTGACATTTCAATAAATCGAAGTCCAAGTTACATTATTGTTGGAAATGCCTTCTTCAAACCCTTGCTGCTATCGTCAACAATGTCTATGAACCATTGGTACCACTTCTTCTCTTTTGGTTTGTGTTCGAAGATGCTCCTGGCAAATTTGTTTTCTGATCACTAGCCCCCAAGTGCCCCCACCCCTACCCCCAGTGCCCTTCACTTGTCGTGTTTTGTTATTACAAGCCAGGACTTAAACATACACACCACCGTCACCTTCCAGTTTCTTGTACAAGTTGCAGCTAAAAGAATGTGCAGGAGAGAGAGAGATTCTGGAGGAGTTGTGTTCTCATAGGGGAACTTTGAACCAGGTCTGAAGTCATGCTCCTTCCCAGAGCCCCAGGGGTGAAGCCCTCCCCAGCCCTCACTTGTTTCCAGAGGTCCAGCTCCTTGTCACTCTGCCCCTCAGGTGTTCATTTTCCTCCACTCCACCCAGATAAAAAGAGAAGTTAGGCAGGTCGCTCTTTTCTGTCTTCCTCCTGTCTCCTAACTCTTCCCACCTTCCCTTGTTCTCTTCACTATTTCCTTCACAACCTGAACATATCTGAAGATGCTGACTTAACTGCCAGGGGATTTTTCAGAAGTGCTTTCTCATCTACTGAACTAGGACATGACGGAGGGATGTGGCAGGTGATGCTAAAGGTGCCACAGCTGTGTGTGAACTGGCCCTCATGTGCTTTTCCAGTTTACTTCTGAGCTATCAGAGCTTGATAAAATTATAACTGGAGAAACTTAATGGAGAAAATAGATATGTTAAATTATGGTACTTCTGATGATGGGGAGCAAAAATCTTGGGCAATTGAATCTACATCTCAAGGTCTAGGATATAAATTACAGTAACATTTTCAGTGGTATCATTTTTCAATTGCTGCCAAAAAATGGTAATTTTATTTTAACATCTTTCAAAGAGAAAGATTTTTTTTTTTTTTAGTATAAATACAAACTTCTCAAGCTAAAACCTATCAAAAATACCAAGCATGGCAACACTTGCTGACTTTACATCTTGACTATTTGTACCCCTCCATACACAACAGATATGGCTGCATGTGGAAAAACTCTGCCCATTCCTTATCGATATCTGTCTCTGCCACTTAGGATAAACTCTCTCTCACTTGGTACTATTTACTAAAAGTGAGTTAGGCACTGTCTTGGCTTAGACAGTGTAAGGTATGTAGGCAGTGATATCAGGTCCTTGTTTTAGGTACCTCAGCTACCTACTGTGAAGTTAGTTAATTCACTCCAAAGTGACACTATAGGAACCTTTGGTGTAGTTTATGTTAAATGCCATTCAAAGGCAGTCATCTGTGCAACTGAGGCAGGGACAGCCTTGTTAGAGGCACAACAGATGCTGGGAGCAAGTGGGAAGGGGCGGAAGAGCCTTGGGCCTCTGCCTGGTCAGAACTTCCCAGCACTCACGGTATGTTCAAGAGTATGGACAGCAGTGAAGCTGTAATTAATGACCATTTGCATTCTGGCAGTTGTCCTCTCTGTTCTGTTAGGTTTTAAAGCATTTCTATTTTTTAATTGTGTGTGTGTGTGTGTGTGTGTGTGTGTGTGTGTGTGTGGTGGGGGCGTCATCAGACCTTCTGGAACTGGATCACAGGTGAGGCTCCCAGTGTGGGTGTCAAAGAACCAAACCTGGGTCCCCCGCAGGAGCAGCAAGTGCTCCTAACCACTGAGCCGTCTGTCTAGCTTGAAATTCATGTCAGCTACTTTGTTGCTAATAATAGTGCCATGAAGACTGTTGTGCACAATTGTACATTTTCCTAGCTAAGCGGGGAAAACACCACTTTTGAGTTTCTTAAGGGACATTTAGTTTGTTTTTAGGGACTTCTTTGTTGTTATATTCATTTGTTTGTTTGTGCCATGACCCACATATGAAGTCAGTTGACAACCTGTGGGAGATAGCGCTCTCCTTCCACTAAATGGGTCCTTTGAATTGAACTCAGGTCCTTGAGTTTAATGGCAAGCACCTTCCTCCACCAAACTGTCTAGCCAGCCCCACCCTTGAGTTTTTAAAAGGCAAGATGTCGTTTAAAAGTACATTTATTATTTCCTAACATGTTTATATAATTAGCAGTGTTTATTTAATCATATGTGGATCAAATCTCTAGATTCAATAGTATTAAATGTATCAGTTTTTAAGATCAGAAAGTATTTGATGGAAATCTAAGTCACATGATTAAAACTTGTATAATAATTGCAAAACATGATTCATGAAGACATTTTCTAGCATGTTCTCTGAGGTTCTCCCTCTGGACTGGAGTAATAGAGGTGGATGATAGTCAATTTCTGAGGGAACACCACCCTCAGCTATTAGGAAACTCATCACCAGGCACTTGGAGGTCCTTAATGGTTAAGTGTTTGCATGGAATCCTTAGCAAAGTGTGTACTCCAAAAAATCTTTTGAGGTAGTCCAGTTTTTAATTTGCCAAGCCAGGTTTTCCCACGTCTGAAGGCACTAGCCACGGAAAACACCTTCTTTTAATTGTCCTCCCTCCTACATAATGTATTCTCTTGGAGCACTTCCGGTGGAGAGGAGGAGAGGTGGCAACCCTGCCTGGAGACTCACATCTCACGACTTTCTTTCCAAGTGTGTTGTGGGATCAGAAGTATTTTGCATTTTTTTCTAAAACACACACACAAACACACACACACAATTTCCATTTCACTCAGGAGAGGGGCTAATCAATCAGTGGGCACAAATCAGTGGGACAAAAGTCCTTAAGGTTCAATAAATTGAAAATAAATAAACAAACTGTTACAGAAATGTCTGACAGCATTTTCCCTTCTGTGAGTATAAAAAAGGGGTTTGATTCTGACATGTTTGACAGTTATGCAAGACCAGGCAGAAAATTATGTTTGCAATGGGTAGCAATTTACTCTGGGGAAACATGATCATCTCTTACCTGGACTACTAAAGGAGAGGTCATTTGAAGAGAAGGGGTCTTTCTGTAATAATTACACCATGTCACAAACTTGTGGCAAGACACCAAAATAAATTGTTAAAAGTGGAAGAGTTGTGTCTTATATAAAAAATATCTACTTGAAAGAAAACAAATAGGGCTGGGGAGTTGGCTCAGTGGGCATGAGGCCTTGAATTCAGTGCTCAGTGTTCGAGCCATGTGTGCCTATAACCCCAACATTTGGGATTGGAGAAAAGGGACCCCGAGAGCTCACTGGCCTAAACCATAAACTTCGGGTCCAGGAGAGACCCTGACTCAAGGCAGTAAGGCAGAGAAGCATTAGAGGAAGACACTTGGCATCCTGCTCTGACCTAATGAGCAAATATGGATGTGTGTAACACACACACACACACATACAATAAGTTTTGTTTTGGTGTTTGTGGATGGATACATTTTTGTAGAGTTTAGTTATCTGAATGAATGCACAGTTTAGCTTAGCCTAGGATGTTTACCTTTTTCATTAAAAAATAAAAAAGCATTAAGAAAGACCAGTCTAAACTCAAGTATTAAAACCAGTGGATTGTATATGTAGAATGTAGACCTGTAGGCTAAGAACTGTAGGACAGTTACTTTCTGTGACTGATTCAGAACCTTAAGTCACTGTGTATGTGTGTGTGTTTATGTGTCTACATGGGTTTGTGTACATACATGAATGAATACCCATGACGGCCAGAAGAGGGTGTGGGGTCTCCTGGGGCTGGAGTTGCAGGTGGTTGTAAGCTACTGTGTGGTAGTTAGAAGCTCAACTCACATCCTCTGCAACAGCAGTAAATGGCTCTTAACTCTCCAAATTCTCTACTTCAACAATATGTTCTTGAAAACTAGGAAAAGACACTTTATACTTTCAGTATGAGTTACCTGGGATGAGCTTATTGAAGGCATCCTACCTTCCTTCTACCATGTGGGTCCTGTGGATTGAACTGAAGTCATCAGACCTGGTGGCAAGCATCTGAGCAGTGTCACCAACCCTGGGCCAGTGCCAGCTTTTTTTTTTTTTTTTTTTTTTTTTTTTTTTAATTAAAGAGAGAAAAGCATTAAGTTGTATCCTATACACCTCAGCAGGACTGGGTTGATCATTTTTCTTCTTTGTGGGGAAGAAGAAGGAGAGGCCTGAAAGCTTATAAAAGGTGGCACTCAAGAATGAGTAGATTGAAGAGGACAAAGGGCAGGGACCTAGGGCAGAACTCAGATACATGGATGTTCAGCAGTATCTAATGGACTTGGTTTCCCTCTGTGGGAAACTAATCTGTGTGTGTGTGTGTGTGTGTGTGTGTGTATGTTTCTGTCTCTGTCTCTCTTCCCTCCCCCACCCCCCGCCTCTCTCTCTGTCTCACCTCCATGCCAAAGATGTTTGGGGAGAATAGAAGTAATCGTGGAATATACCTCACCCGAACCATCACCCAGAAAGCAGCCCAAGAATTAACATTCCATAAAACTATGAAGATAGAATTCCCCTTTAAACTGAATTCACTTAATACAGCCTCTAAAATAGTAGAGGAGTCAGAAGGTGTTGGACCAAATGTATCACAAGTCTTACCAACACCAATGGAAAGACTTTAATTTTTCTGTCATGGATTTTCTGAAAATCCTTCAGCAACACCCTACTAGAACCAATGTGGGGAGGGTGTCCTCTGTCTGCACTGCCTTCATCCCTGTTGTCTGTGGGTCTCTGCTAGCTGCCAGGCATTTGAAGATGGAGAATGGAAGCCAATCTCTAACCTTATGGGTTTGTAAATTAGTTGGATTGATTCCTAGAGTTCAGTTACAGTGTCGGGGGGTGGGGTGGGGGGGAAGCTGTTTTTATGATCAATAGCAGCAATAAAATGATTATTTTACTATGTACTTTTGCCCCCTCCCCGCTGTGTTTCCAAATAAAGTATTACTTAGAACTTCACTAAATAAAATAAGATCTGTATCAGAGGAGGAAGTGAGTGAGGAGCATTTGTCCACCCGTGATCCATGGTGCTTCCTCTACCCCCTCTCCCCAGACTTCCGGTGGTTTCTTCTGGGGAATTTTACATCTCC